TAGTAGTAGTAGTAGTAGTCTTCTTGTGAACCCCGGGCCTGTCAGGAACGTAAGCTTTCTAGAAGCTTCCGTGGCGGTCAATCCAAACGGTGCTGCAGCACTCCTCTGGCGCTGAGCAATTGCACATCGACGTGGGAGCACCGCTGAGGACGCAAACGAGCTGCAGCTGCAGGAAAACAGACTTCGTCCTGCATTTCACACAGAGCCCGGTCTCAAGTCCCGGGGTGATGTAAACACTGAATCGATCACAGGCGAGAGGGTTGGCTTCTAGCCATTCTAGCCTCCGAGAAACCTGAAGCCGCTGTGGATGAAGAGTCGGCCAACAGCACATGTGCTAACACATCTAGTGCTGTTCTTGGCCCTCTCTAGGGAGGCCAGGCAGACATAGTGGACATGGCGCAGTTTACACGGTTTAGCTGTCGCGGCATCGCTCTATCCGGAGTTCACACCGTGAGTATGCTGGCAATCAATTTCGACTGGGTCGTCGTTGTTGGTACATGCAGTGGCTGCTGGTACGCATCTGCCGTTTCGCCCTAACAGGTCACAGTTGTCAGTAATTTGGTCTCGCTGGGGTGATTTCAAAAGCGGCAGAAACAAGAAACGCGACATTTGTAATCCGCGTGAAAAGACAGTAGCTGGAAGCGAGCTGGCATGGTGCCAAGTGCGCACAAACCTGAGCGACAATTGGAAACGATGCTGACCTTTTTAACAAATTCGACATGGCACTAGCATCTCCAAGTCTTCGCCAATGCCCCGCGGAGGTTGGAATTCTCCGAGATCTTTGCATCTGATTCTGGACAACGATGGCTGAAGCTGTACCGGTTGGATGGTCTTGCAGGGCTTTACATGAGTTTTAAGACTTGGCTAGATCTTCGCGGCCGTTGCGCTTCCTGCGGTGGCGGATGACCCCGGATGCGGTGGTTTTAAACTGGCCAACTTGACTCCGTCCGAGCTTGTAGCGAAAGGCTTGGCCACCGGCAGAGGAGACGGCACAGCATGAACAAAGGCCTGCAAAAATCACAAAACATAGCCGCTCGTACTGTCTGTGCTCCAGCTTGCAACGGAACTTCCTCCGTTCTCTGCTGCTTCAACGTTTGCTGAAGCTCGCTCTTGGCTTGCCTGAGACATAAGCTACGCGGACGCTTGCAAAGTCACACATGCGAGGCTGTCCAGGTTCAGGTCCTGACGAAATGGTGTCGGCATTTTGCAGAAGGCTATGGTTGTCGAGATGGCTTGGGCTCTTTGCCTTTCCAGGACTAGATGTACTCACAGACCTGCACTCACACGAAACTCAGAAATTGCACAATGCCGGCCCAAGACTTCTTCATGCATTCAAGGGGTATAAGAGTGTCCCAGCTTCCCCGACAGAGCCCCTTGTCCTCTGTGTTTACCCAAACCTTTTGGGGGCTCTCTGGTCCGTCAAGGGGCTGGAGCCGTTGACGCGCGGTGCGGCTTCTGGTGAGTCACCCCAGCTCGCCATACGAATGTTCCTGCTTCCCTTCTACTCGATTTTGTTGGCGGGTTGAATATGACATGACTCCACATGAAGTGACTGCATGGAATGCACGAAGGTCGCTCAACAGCAGCGCATCAATCTGTTGCATCCAAAGCCGAGACTAGATTGCGACGCTTCGGCAGCTTCGTCGAAAACCATGTTTGTGTTGAGTTGTTGTCGCTTCTTCTGTAAAAAGTGACCATATTAGGCAGAGTGGATCGTACTTTGGGTCGATTGTTTGATGGATCCCAGCCCTTCTCACACACGTTATGCTCGTGCCATCGGGTTGACATCAATCCGATGGCTAGATGAATTTTGACTGCTGCTGTTGATTTGCTTCATAACTGTCTGTTTTGGCGGCAGACTAGGACACACGTTTTGCTCACCAAGGTGCAGCATCTGCAACATTTGTCTTCTTCAGAACTTGTCACATGAATCGGCGATATTGCCGATCATGAGTGTCACCATCTCGCATTTTGCGTGACAGAACTCCTCGCAGGACCCAGCCCGACACAAAGGAAAAGATGCTCGTGCAGCCGACTGCAAATACTAATCTCATGGCTGCATCAACCGAAATGCTCTCGGATACCGCACTCAAACGCTCTTGGTGCTCAGCGTCAGCTTTGTACGCGAGCAAGCTTGCCGCTTGACGTTCGACAGGCTGGGCTCGGGATCCAGCTAGCTTCGCCTTTGGAGCAGCTTCCAAGACTGGAAGCCCATTCCGAATATATGCAGCCACATCCTCAGCAAGTAACACTTTGGCCAAAGCCCCTCTCATGACCTCGATTGCGTTGAAGTGCTGCTTGCTCGCAGTGGAGACGCCATCCTCGATCAAAATGACGTCGTATTGCAAACTGAAAGCATGAAATGCCGTGGAGATGATGCAATCATCCGTCCAGGCACCAACTTGGACCACGGTGTCAACGCCCAGTTTTTGAAGCTCTACGTGCAATGTGCCTTGGCCAGGGTTAACTTGAACTTGCATGTTGCATGGCAGGAAGATGGGTGAAATCAGGCTGACTTTTCAGCTCGTAACGTGAAGTGCATTGCAGGATGGCTTGGGGCTGTTGGGTAGATCCTTCGCAAGCATGCCTTGGTCGCTGAGCGATGCCCACTCCATGGGTCGCTCGTCAAACATGTCGAGAGAGTAGCTTTTGTGCATGACCCGGCGCCACTCCATTGGATTTTGCGGTGCCACTGCGGGCAAAACATCCTCATTGTCAACTTCTTGAAGCAATCATGACTGCACACTACAGTACCGAGCGACAGACCCGTCGACATCATGCAGTCTCCGTGTTTCATGTTTCGCTACGTTTCTTCCCACTGGCCTCTGAGCACAAACAAAGGGCTTGCGGACAGCATGGCCTCGCCTTACCACATCCGGGTTCCGTGTCGTTCCGTGTGGCATTCGTTTCCTTCCTTATAACTTGCTGGCTAGCAGTGTAAATAGAATTTCCTGAACCAATGAAACACAAGTGACACACACACACAATCACCATCAATATCCATCAATCACCCTCTCAGCAGATGGACCGCTAAACTGAAGTCATTTTGGACGAATCCAGCGCTGAACGACTTCTCGCCACTCGGGCCTGTGCCTCACCTCGCTCTTCCCTGTATCTCCCCTCTGCAATCATGCGCAAATGCTGGATCGACGAAACTAGAGGTGCGTGTGCCAAGCGACGCCTCCGTTCCGCTTGTGGTTGTACAAAGAGTTGGAGCTCGTGTTCCACCTCAGACGGAATTTTGATGAATGAAAGACAAAGCCTCACACATCTAGAAAGTTCTGTGGAGGCTGAGGCGCCCAACAGGACCGTAGAAGCGATCCATAGAATTGAAGAACCCGTCATCCGGACCCCAGCGCCACCATGTGCTCCAGAAGACGGGGAGCCCTGCCTCGGTATGAATCTGGGCACCTCTGATGAGACACGGGATCTGCCCTTCGCCTCGCGGAAGACGTCCAAGAGCAACTTCACTTGCGGGACAATTCCATGCACATAGTCCGCATACTCCACCTGCATGGCTGCCCACGTCTTGTCACATCTTCTAACAACAGCTTTCTGGCCTGCATATCATCTATAAGCAGTGCTGGTGTGCGCTTGCGGTCGGTCAGTTCGTAGGCACACCAGAAGTCGGTCAGAAGCGGGAACTGCAGCGGATTCGACTGAACGGTTGCGGTGATGCCGTCCACCTGCGGACATCTCCATGTCTATCATTTACCGATCGCTGACTGTCCATTCCCGGTCATGTCATGCACTAGTCGCTGCGATTCCAATCATGGGGATGGCGGTGGAATGCAGCTAACGTCACTCGCTATATACTGTATTTTACTGGCCGAGACTCGGAATTTGCAGTGGCCGCTGCAATCTTATCAAATATCTTCTTTCCACTGTCAGCTATCGAAGGCAACGGTTGCTCACCCGGCGAAAGCTTGCCCAAAGCACAGGCCGCAAAGGAAACGAAGAGACAGCGGAAGGAAGCCATGACCCGGCTGCAGCACGAGCAGTGTCAGGTTGCCTGCAATGGAGCCAATATGCTGCCAGTGGCCCTCATGGGCCCCGAGACATATTTATTCCTTGAGTGAAGATTGCCGGCTAGTGCTGCGTGGAAATGCCTGATGTTTTCATTTATTCTTAGCGGAACATCAACTGCCTCTGCCGTTTCTTCCTTCGTCGATGCCTGCCATGGCAAAGTGAACCTCTCCGATCGGGTGTGTTCGAACACAATGTACACGCGTCATGTATCTCGTCTCTATCTTAGTACAAGTACGAATCTTGGAAGACTGCGCGAGATGAAGCAACGAGGGCGCGGTGCCAGGAAGACGCGTGTTGATACTTCGCATACTGGACCTGGAAGCTTGAAATGTATGAGGAGTTTGCTGCACTAGCACCTCCTGGATGTCGGGCGTCTTCTTTAGCCTCTTCGCTTCCGCCTGCATCAGGTGCACGTAATGACACATTGTCTGCACATGGTCTGTAAAGCAAACTAGATGGACACAAGCATCCCTGGCAGGCTGCCTTTACGTCTGCTGCAGGTGGCTTGCTTTCCTGAAGCATTAGGAAGGCGCGTCAAGCGGATCTGAATGGAAGGCATGATTTCACAAACGTTTGCCTTGGCACTCGTCTTTGGTGCTTTTGGTGTCTTACCGCCTGCTTTTTGGGCCTTGTCTTTTGTATCCTCGTAGCGTGCAAGCGGCCAGGAAATCTAGTAACGAAGCTGACCCGGAGCCTTTTTCGGATGCTTGCTAACCTTCTTTGCCTCCTGCATGGCTGAACATGTCGTGACGCGGGGTTATGTTGTCATACTAGTGAGTTCTCGCCCCCACTGTGGACAGGCTGAGCATGCGGAATCACGACCACTGTTTGGCATAATTCTCAGTTGAAGTCAGCACACGTCCTTTAGAAGTTTGTTAACCCTAGCACACAGGATTTGGAAACGCACTGTCGCTAAAACATTTCTCACCTCCTTGTTCTTGCCATCCTTCTGGCGTGGCGCCTGCATCTGCACACTTCTTTTACAAACTTGGACACAGCTTCCCGATGCGGCGGGAATCAGAGGGATGCTGGCTCCTCAGCTTGCTTCTTCTGCGCAGGGCCGCTGCTGCCATCGTTGACCTGGCGCAGCCGCACCAGCGACGCAGACCGCTCCGGTCTTGGCAACACCAAAAAAAAGGGATTCTGGGACCTGATGCTTGGTGGTTTTGGTCACGGCGGCCTGCCAAGCTTGCCGTTGCTTTCTTTTCTTTTTGCGTTCTTGCATCAAGAACGGCAACATCCATTAAGCGTGCTTGCAGGGTGCGATCGACGAATTCTGCGAAGTTGCTTGCTTGGAGGCCCCGTGCCTGTGCTTCGCCTTTGGAAGCCTTGCCACCTTTGACGTCCTTGCATCTCTTCCAGAATGCATACATCCGGAATGCAGCTTTCGCTGGGGTTCAATATGCAGATCCTGCCTTCCCTGTTTCTGCTTTCTGCTCCTTGTCTTTCAACCATTGCTTCAAGATCTCAAGATCTTTTGTAAGGTCCTGCTCGGGGCAGCTCTCCAAAGCCGTACATGAACTCTGCCCACTGCATCGCGCAGCCTTCTTGCGGTCTGGATTTTTCTCCTGCTGCAGTCGCAATTTCGACATGTGCGCAACCCCGTGCACATGATCGCAGTGCGCAGCCTCAGCGCATCTTTTCAAGAATCACAGTTTGCCATCTCGAACCCTCGTTTCGGACATGGACATCCACAAACCACGCCTGTTTTCAACGATGCCTGGAACCTGAAGGTTCACGACACTAGCAGAAACCATAATGCCGTAATCCTCGGCCATCTCCTGCTGCTTTTCGACCTCGCAAACTCGCAGTACAAACAAACAACCGGCCACGGACACATCTTTCTCAGGCCAAGGCAAGCATCTCTCGCAAGTTTTCGATTTCATCAGCCTGAACACGCTTGTCAGAATGCTGGCGTACTAATTTCGCATCCTCACCGCCTACTTCGAAACTTAGACTAATGTTGTGTCTTCATGCCTGTGGCGCCTTTGCCGCTGCGGGTGTAGCAGGACGCTGCCTAGGATGGCACCAATGCATGCTCATCAGCAACAACTAACCAAACACGTCAACGCAGCATCTTTTCTGGGGCTGATCACGGCAATGTCGTTTTGCTCGATCCTTTTTTTTCTCCTCCGGAATCAAAGCCGGCGGCATGGCAGACCATTGCACACAAAAACGCCTTCGCATCCGGCCGCGAAGACTTGCCTTCCATGGGCCGATCGGCATCGACAACATGACACCTTGCACAACATGCCCGAACAGTCCTCCGTTCTGGTTGGCGATGGCAGTTTGCAACTTGCGCCTCTCCAACGACATCTTGTGATAACTGCACTGGTGCATCCCACGATTACCAAATGCAAAGATGGGATGGGAATGAAGCTTCGCATGCCTCAAAGCCGATGAATCGCTTGATGTTGCATAGCTTGAATAACTGGATGGCGAATCCGACCTTCGAACCAAACTTGTCAGCTATGTAATCCAGTGGTCGCTGCTGTCCGCCAAGGCTTTCTGGCTTGCAAGCCTCGCATGTGGCATCGCTACCGCGACGGCCGCTGCTCAGCCAACGGTGGCATCATTCTTCGAACACGGCAACTCAACACGAATCGAACAATATGTTGGGCGTGTGCAACCTGATTACATCTCCTGTACGTTTGCCGTGAACATTGCCAGTTTCCAACAAAACGCACGGATGCAGGAAACACGACTCTCCAATGAACCATTCCTTTGCATGCTGGATGCATGGTCATGATCATTAACGAGCCACATGTTCAGGCAACCAGCCAAGTTCGAAAGATCCTCCCTCCACGGCAACATGCGACCACACGACCCATATCTTGCTATCTCGCTGCGAGGCATACGCTGCAGGTTGTTTGGACCATGGCTACCGGAACCTACCATGCGATCTCCGATCGCTTCAATTTCTGTTGCATCTTTTTTGCGAGCAACAACTCACCGAAGGAGCCCATCGTCTATTTTTTTAACACTCCTTTTTGTGACCATCCGCGCGGTCCCAGTGCAACAAAAGGTCCGGCGGCGCGGTGCTCACACACACAGACACTACGGCAGGGGGGAGGCAAGAGGAGGTGACTCGGCGGAGTCAGCGAGGACGTCGCTGAGCAAAGGAGGCTCGCCATCAACTTTGGCGGTATTGGAGATTGGCAGGGAGAGCAAGCTGGCGGCGAAGGACCTTGCTGCAGCGACCGGCAACAACCCCGACCATCGCCCAACGACGGCAGCGATGGTTGCTGCACGATACAGAGGGAGGGCAGTGCGTGCTCGTG